GGGGACCAATAGCAGAACATCTCCGAATCTCCAGGGTTTTCTGTCGGGCCGGAGACAAACCTGGCCTGGGGGCAGGGGTGGGGGGTGGGGGCAGTGCAGTCAGAGGCCTGGGTTTAAATCTAAGCTCTGCCCTTTTCAATCTGGGAGACCTTGGCAAAGGGGCATAATATTTCCGTGCTTCTGTTTCATGTCCTCTTCAGGAGGACGGGGGTTCTTCTCTGAAGAGCAGGGGTGTGGTCTCAATGCCCTCTTTGCGGGGCCCCTTGGATTTACCTGCCAGCGCACTCACCTGGGGGCCGGGTTCCCCTTTGCTTCACACTCAATCAAGATGTTATCACGGGGATCCACGATGTGGTCCTTCACTGACTGCTTGGTGATGGTCGGGGGCTGGGACACTGCAACAGCACAAACAGGGAGCCGTCAGGATTGTGGGGACCTGCCGGGGGCCCCGGGTTCGGGGAATGGCTGAAATTAACATCTTCAGGAGCCACAGGACAAGCAGGCAAACGGGGGGCGGGCAATGCCTCCTTTTGGGGACCCAGCTCCTTAAACGGGGCCGCAGGAAAGGGGGTTATGCCAAAGACTGAGCCTAAGAAGAAACCCTCGAAGATCTCATGGGATCCCTACGAGAAACTTTTGTTTTACCCATTCTTCTATCCCAACACTCAGTATGATGCCTTGTGCACAAGAGTTCTTGATATATGTTTGTCGAATGAATAAAGGAACCCAGCGCAGGTCACATTCCAGAGCCTAGTAGCCGTGATGGTTCTGAGCCCTGGAGGGTCAACAGACGGCCGAACTGTGGTGAGGCTGGAGCTCACAGGTTCAAGTTCCCAGGGCCTGGGCCCAAAGAACCAGCTCCTCTCACGCTTGGTCCCCACCTCCAGTGTTCTCCGCGGTGCTCCTTGCCAGCAACCCGAGGGTGGGGAGCGGAGGCCCTTCTTAACCCACCTGCTCCTCTGCCCTTCCCAGCAACAGGAATCTCCGGGTGGATGGCTGCCGTCCCCATGTGATAAGGGACCGCACTCCAGGGCCCTGGTGTCAAGAAACCCCCAGCAGGCAGGGTGGAGAGGCGGCTGATCCCCCCCCATCTCCTCACTTGGCCTTCTCCCACCCTCCCTGCTGCCCTCCCACCTCCCAGAGGCACAGGTGCACAGAGGCGCCCGGGGGACTTACGCTCATTCTGAATGCTTGCTGTTAGTTCCGATGGGTTAGCATTGTGAGGGGGAGAAAAGAAGACAGCGGTTATAGGTTATCGTACACGACTACTCGCCCAGGGATCCTCACGCCCCAGCCTGCCAGGAGAGTAGGGCTGCAGCGCTCGGTGGAAGAGCCACCCAGAGGTGGGGACGGACTCGGCGAGCGCTTCACGGAGGCGACATTTCCCCGGGGAGCTCAAACCACGCAGTTGAGCAGAAAGACCGGCTTCTGATCAAGTGGTGTTGCCGGGAAAGCCCAACTATCGAACGGGACGATGCTGCTGGAAAGAGGCTGGGCTCTAAAGGTGCCGTCCACCCTCTCTGGACGCCATTGAGGAAAGCGGGCCCCCTGGCCAATGGTGCCCGGGCGAGGCTGAGGCTGAGAAGCCTGGCAGCAGCAGATCTGAACCAGGGCTATGAGGCAAAGCCCACACGGTCCGCAGGCCTCGCTCCTTCCGCTGCACCTTCTTCTCTGTCCCACATGCAAGCACCTTCTTGCCTATCCTTTGGAAAATTCTAGGGACCGATGAATCACCGCGGCTCTGCTCATGGCAGAAATACGCTGCCCTACGGAAATCCCTCTTCCAAACAAGTGCAGGGATGAAACAGAGCCCACCACTCTTTTCTGTGCTTTTTACGAAAAGGATGAAGAGGCAGGTAGCAAAGGTCTGCCCCAACGCCCACCTGAGATGTGCGGGTGCTCGTGTACAGGTGTGTGCATGTTTGAGGTCAGGCTTCTCAAACCCTGACAAGTGTATGAATCACCCAGGCTGGCGGGGGGCGGGGGGGTGGCGGGTCTGGTTAAAATGCAGATTCTGATTTAGCAGACCCCGCGTTTCTGACAAGCTGGTGGTCTGTGTGTACCATGCTTTGAACGGCAGGATCTTCGATGGTCATGTGCTTCCTGGGGAGGAGGTCTTGGTTAAAATTCGCAGAAAGGAGAACATGTGTTTCCGTAACTTCGTAAGATGTCCCTCCTTTATGGTTCTATCGTGAAGTAACAGGCCGTGCGTATCTCACGCTGGTGCGGATATCAGATATGTGTTGATGCCGTGGGCTGACTTCTTCAGAGTGGGTGCTTCCCCGGGAAGCAAAGGCTGCGGGGGAGCCAAGGTGACCTTGAAGCTTTCTGACTCAGCCACAGTGAGTTGTGGAAGAGGAGTCCAGGGGCCCAGAGAAGGGCGGTGTGGTGCAGGCAGGGCTAAGGCAGGACCAAGAGGTGCCGGGAGAGTCACGAGAGAGAAGACAGACATGGGAGAGGAAAGGTGGAGTGTGGCAGGAACGTGTCCCCTGCCATCCACACTGTTGGTACGTGAAAGTCTCGAGTAAGACCCACAAAAAGGTTCAAAACAATTCTTTCAAGTGGGCCAGGGTTGTGTGTCTGCTGGGGCACTGAAATATTTTATCCGCTTTGCCATTTGCCTGGGTGCAGCCTCGGCGGGAAACAAAAAGGAATGAAAAGTCCGGGGAAAAGCAGAAATCTGTCGTTTCTGAACACGTGCTCCCGGCAACTCCCCATGATGGCATCTTCACCCATATAAGATCTTCCTGCCAGGGGCCCAAGAAAGATAGTTCTGGAAAGCCTGTGTGGTTGGGCATGGAGGAGGAGGAGGAGGGGAGAACGGGCCATTTTCAGGAGAAGTAGGCCCTTTGACCACTAGCCCAGGTTTGCGGTTTCTTCATCTCAAGACACAGTTGATGTCTCTTGGGTCCTCACACACAGTGGAGGGCTCTGTCCTTGTCCTGGCAGGGGTTTTGCTTTGCCCACATGGCCTTCAAGCCTCTCTTTTATAAAATCAAAGGCTGGCTCAATGGAAAGAGCCCTAGACATTATCCAGGGAATCTCAGATTCTTAGAAGGGAAGTCATTCAGTTAAGGGCACGTAGCAAATTTGCTGCAGAACTGAAATAAGGACCAGTTCTCCTGTAGCCTGGTCCAAAGCTCCTTTCACAGATCCGTCCTTGGCCAGAGAGGCGGGTGGGCCAAGTGGGGCCCCAACACTCTCTCCTCCTTGACATTCTGGACAAAGGAGAGTAAGGAGGGAGGTCTTAGGGGGAGTGGAGACCCTCAGAGCTGGCTGGATGCTGTCCCCAGCCCCACACTGAAATCAGGCCAGGGGCCTCTTGAGAGTCTAATTCCCTAAGGAGGTAATGACATCTGCAACCGCCACTGTGCCACCAAGGAATTTATTACAGAGACACAACCAAACCAGAGGACAAGCCACCATAGGGAGACGACCGTGAGGACCGCGTGCCTGGGGACAAGGGCAGCCTACTTAGTCCTGTGACACTCCCCCCCCGCCCCAAACCCTCTGTTACACCACCTGCCCTTCTCTCCATCTATAGAACTTGCTGGTGATGTCAAGTGGAAAATGAGTTTGCTCTTCTGCCTTCCAAGGGGGAGGAAAAGTCTTCCAATGAGCTCTGCAGGGGGTAAGGCAGGTGCCTGCCCCGTCTGCAAGGTTCCTTTATCCGTGCACTTCTTCTCTCTCCCTGGCTGGTATCTACAGTCCCTGGCACCCAACCCATGCCTGGAGGATGGAGTGTGTGTGTGTGTGTGTGTGTGTGTGTGTGTGTGT